ATTTGATTACCTGGATTAGGTGCGTGCACTTATTGTTATTATGTTTCGCATGTAACTTCACTCTGTACAATTTTCCGGTAACACTGTTCCGATATAAGAATTTAATATTAGTCTTGTTGAGAATTTTATTATCCATTTTATAGCGACCTACGAGATATTTCTCATTTCATACCTCTCACTCTGCCATTGTAATTTTAATAAAATAAGAAATATATAAAAATTTATCGTAGAGATGAATTATAATGACTATTTTCGCATTTAATCTGTTCTAAGTGCCAGTGGGATGAATAGGAGAAGCTTTTATTACTTGACTACAGCGCTAACTTAATAACTCATTTACACATCGTTACATCGGGCGTCTAGTTATTATGACCATTAACCCTGCTCATTTTCCCCCAGCCTGCTCTTGGATTCTAAAATTTACATTGTTTCTACCTTTCTATATATTCTTCACAAATGTTTTGAACAAAGTGTTACGTGTATGCCATTGATTATTGAATTGTGGTTAAATATTCTTAGATCGGGCGCAGTGTTGGACCACCTGATGCTAGCAAGGAGTGGAGGTTGTCGTACAGAGAGCTGCGGGAGTCTGTAAAGAGAGTAGCTAGCGGTCTGGCCCGGCGTGGCCTCAGGAAAGGTGACGTCGTGTGTGTGTGCAGTTCTAACTGCCCAGAGTACGTGATCACGATGTTGGCAGTTTACTCGCTAGGGGCCGTCCTGACGTTTGCGATTCCTGGATCCTCTGTAGGTGGGTTATTCTCCTTGCACTACATTGATAAATCATTTTCGCGACCATGCTTAGCTAAGGATTCCTATAAGTCAGTAGAAGCATAAGATAATCTGAGAAATTATAATGCCGCTCAAATATTTGTTATTAAATTGCAATGTATTGCAAATATTTTGTTAATTAAAATGAGATATCACCTTCATAATCATACAACTAATTAGTAGATAGGTTGTGCATGACTAAGTGTTGACAACACTTGGGCAATATCGGTCCTACCGCATATACGTACGTGATTAATGCATGCTTTCAGACGAGATACTTTCCAGGTTGAGAATTGCGAAGTTCTGTGGCACTGTAAAGTTTTTCGTCGTATCTAGTGACGAGCTGACAACTGCGAGGAAATTAGTGGAGCGTTGTGGAGTAAACGTGGTACGTGAGTAAGGTAATATCACGAGTAAATAATAATATTATTATTCACTCCTGATATTATCTTAATCACGTACCACGTTTACTCCACAACACTCCACCAATTTCCTCGCAGTTGTCAGCTCGTCACTAGATACGACTAAAAACTTTACAGTGCCACAGAACTTCGCAATTCCCAACCTGTAAAGTATCTCGTCTGAAAGCATGCATTAATCACGTACGTATATGCGGTAGGACCGATATTGCCCAAGTGTTGTCAACACTTAGTCATGTACAACCTATATCTACTAATTAGTTGTATGATTATGA